TGTCTTTATCATTATGCCAGAGCATGGGGGAGGTGGGGGGTCTGAGCAAGTCCCTCTGCTGCCTGGTCTGTCTTGTAACAGAAGATAAGCCGTGGCTGCCTCTTATTTAACTGAGAAGGAAAGCAGTGTCGCATAGATTGCCCCCCCCCCCAAAAAAAAATTTGTGTGTTTTTGTGTAGGATTTAAATCCATTCTTAGTCCAGGATTCAGCAGAAAAGCTTCATTATTCTGGTATAATTGTGACAAGGTCATGCATCACTGACTTGAGTGCTGTAGGATTATTTGGTATCTCTGTGACACTAGGCAACAAATTTATTTCAAGAACCTTGAGGAAATTTCTAAACATGTGACAGCAAGACACAAGAGAAAAGGGGAACCATGACCTTTTTTTTTTTTCTTTTTTTTTTTTTTTTTAGCAAATGCTTGCCAGATGTTTAGTTTAGTATTCACAATTGTTGCCATGTTCATACCAAGCCTTTTATCAGCAGGTAAAAATGATAACAATCAGGGGCTGCCAGCAGGGTGGAAAAGCAAGAAAGATGATAGCCTGAAGCCCTACCAGCTCAAAGGTGATGTTTTGTAGCTGACCCTTACCTTTGACCTTGTTGTGAAGGGAGGGAGGGGGGCAATAAAAGAAAGAGGGGATTTCCATACAGAAAGCAATGATACACAGTCATACAGTCACATTATTACTTTTACATAAATGCAGCCAATATGGAGTTGAGCCTCACTTATTTTGTTGGTTTGAAACTGAAACTACCTGCACCTAAGTACCAAGTGCCAAAGATGACAAGGCAAGGGTGGTGGTGGAGGAGGAGGAGGAGGAGGAGGAGGAGGATGATGATGATAACGAAAAATGTCAATTGACAAATTGAATAGCCTCCTGCAGGTGGGAGCCATCTATACTGGCAGTATGTTGGTGGCTGAAAGGAGCGTGTAAAATTACCAGGACATTCATTCATCAAAAGGTAGCTGATGTACAAGGACTGAATAAGTAACTGTGCTGAAATGGTTCCTTATCTCAGTCTGGAGAGGGAAAAAAGGGGAGGTGTGGTGGTTCTGAAAGCTCATGAATATCTATTTATTTGCAAAGCCAATGTCAATTGAGCTCCCCCTTTATTGTTTTGAACCTGAGCTTTAACACACAATAGAGAGGTGTGATGATGACGACGCCCCCCGGCATTAAAGCCCATGCTTAAACCCAATGTGTGGCTCGTTAACAAATCTAGCTAAGGATATGTTTCTGACAATATTTTTCATTAATAAGGTCAGGCTGAGGAGCAGCAGGTTAGACACAGGTACGTCTATGCTTAAGACATTTCCAGCAGGCTGTTCTCACTGAAGAAAACTAATAGGTCTGTGTGAGGGAAGCAACTTATGCAGCCTGTTTACACTTATACACACGTGTATATATAAAGTTATAAAAGTTAAGCTATTAATAGAGAAGCTGTCCTGGTGGACAGAAAGTCACGCCAAACCCCATAAAAATTGTTGATGGTTTATCTTCATGTCCATCTTGTAAACTACAGCAGGAGAAAATATTGAGTTTATCTTTTTCTCACAATGTGTGCCAGTTAATATACCGTATATATGCCGAATTAAAGAGTGTGGCCTGCAATTTGAGAAAATATCACCGGTTGTGTAATAAGACGTACATGTTGACCAAAAAGAAAGCCCAGCTTAAATTTAAAGATTTATGACTGGAGTATGTCGTGATGTTCTGCCCGTGTGGGAGAGAGCGAAGCAACGTGAATGAATACTCCAAACTTACCGACTGAAGGAAAAGCAATGTCCGAACATAATCCCGCTCCGTGTTCAGTATTTCATTTAAAACGCAAAGCCTGAGCCGCTGCTGCCGGTCCGAGTCCTTGGCGGCGTGGATACCGTTCTCCAGATGCCCGTCGTCCTCTTCCATGGTGGTAACTGAACCCTCAGAAAAGGTTGCTCTCTACAGAAATACTATTCTTCTCTTTAAGTATCCACACTTCGCTCAGTTGTTGCTTCAGTCCATTTTTGCAACAGCAAGTTTTCCACACACACACACACAAAAAAAAAAAAAAAAAAAAAAAAAAAAAAAAATCCCCCAAACTGTGATGGAGCAGAGCACCACTCACAGGAAATAAAAGTTCGCCCAAAGTACCAAACAACAAGCAAGAGAGTCTGGCTGTGTGGCCGCTACACCAGCTGAGAGCGAGCGGGGCTACAGTACAGATCAGACCTGATAGACGGCACCGAGCTGGGCGAGGAGGAGGAGGTGGGGGGAGGAGGAGGAGGAGGGGGAGGAGGAGGAGAAGGAGGGACCCGGTGCCAGAGAGACACACAGGGGCCATAGCTCACTTCTGCTGTGGACAGTGAGCACACAAACAAACAAGTTCACACAAACACACACATCTGTACCCCGAAGCTGTGATCACACATTGTAGCTTGTAGGTTATTTTAATAATGTAAACTCATTATTAAGTGACACATTAATCCTCAATAGCGGCGCTAAAGTGGCTCCAAAGAAAACAAGTGTATTATGACCACAGCTGTACCTAACTTCATATGCATTGGTAAGTCCATACAAAATATTATATTTAAGCACACAATAAAGCACACTGTAACGCACACATTAAACTTACCATAAATTGTAGAGTGCCACAGTCTTTATATACATATCTATATACACATACTTTTTGAATTTCAAAATTAAATGTACATTAAATGTCCGTTAAATGTCAGTTGTTAGCCAACTGTCCAAGCTAACTGAAGATTCCAAACAGATTTGAAAAAATCAACAAACCAAAACAAAAAATAAAAAATAAATATAGCTTACCTTTGAATCAACATGCCTTTTTGGAACCTTTCGCCATTAAATGCCATCCTAAATAAAACAAATTTAAAACATAAAAGACACAAAACATGAAAAACAAAAATAGCATTAAGTTACGTTAGCAATTCAGGTGTTAGCATCTTTCCTTCTTAGCCAAAAACAGTTATGCTAGCAACGTAAGAGGAAAAAATAAACACAGACTTATAAGTTTTATAAAAAAGAAATACCCTGAGAATTAAAAAAAAAAAAGAAAAAAGGTATGTCTTATAATTCAGGGTCACGACCTGTAAAGTAGTTAACGGATACCTGATGTGAAGTATTTAAATACTGTATATTGAGTTAGTTAGCTAATGTTTCCTACCTGTCACAACAGGATCCAGCTGGTAAATTTAGGAGAAAGGCGCCCCCTGGTGGACACAGGCAAACGTGCAACCTTCAGCAGCAGAACGGACACTGGGAGTTTGTAATTATAATGTTGTGGTTCTGACATGATAAGCAGAAAATTGTCATCTTGACCTGGTTCCCTTTTTAACATCAAGTCATGGATGATCTTTTTGTTGTTTCAGTGTAAATACGAAATAAAATTATTTTCTGTTGTGGTCCTACACCTGCTCTTGGGTGTGTATCTATGGTTACATCCATAAATAAAGAAGGCGAACTTAAAACTGTTTAGATCAAGTCTTGTCATGATGGTAGACAAACACAAATAATAATTTCTGTTAAGTACGTTAATATTTAACACAGCTTCAACGCCTAGAGGCACACCTACTGTCACAGGCCCGAGCTGTTGGTGGTTTCAAAGCAATACTTGACTTGTTTCACTGTGCCGTTAACACCAGTCTACTTTCACTGTGTGTTCCAAATACTCATAACAGAATAACTGAAGTGTCTGCATTTTACTACTGATATAACTTCGGCTCTAGCTAATCAGAGCAAGTGAGATCTAAATCTAAAGACTATGTTGCTTCAGGAAAGAAAAAGTATATCAGTTAAATGTTAAAAAGTAAAAGTGGAACTTCATTTTTATTCCTCATAGAAATCCTGTGAACAAAAAGTCAAATATTAGGAATGGGAGAAATTAAAAGGTCAATAATAGTTTTAATTGATGCATGTTACATTCAATACCCATTGTGATCCTCCCACACATAATTGCATACATACATAACTTTTCTCGCCATCTCGGATGAATGCAACAGACAACTTGTAAATGCCTTACACTATCATATATTTACATATTATCCTCCGCTTCTGTACATGGCAAATCCTTAAATATGATCAAACATCAGAGGAGTAACATAGGATACAATGTATGACTGATTGTATGTAGTATCTTTGAAGCATATTTAATGTACTTTTTTCCTTCCAAAAAAAGGCATGTGCATAAAGCACCGTCATAAAAAGTGAGTCACACAATTAGACATGATAGGTTAAAAACTCGCCGACGCCTCTTCTTCATTCGTATTTCACAAGATAAAACTCTTCCTTCAGCAGGGTTTTCTTTCAAAATGCACAAAAAGTACAAAAGACATGTAAGGTAACCACAGGGAATAGAAAATAAACATAAAATGTGCTCAGTGCATTAAGACTTTCCAATATAACAAAGAAACTAGAGGTGTTTGCCCTGTTCCATCTCTGTGATAAATAAATTCACATTGTTACAGGCAGACAGTGAGAGGGCTTGAATAAAAACCAAACGTACAGTGAGTAAACAAAAGTGAAAAAAATTGTGAAGCAAAAAAAAAAAAAAAAAGTTACTAAAACAAGTTGTGAAGGCATAATTGCGTATTTCTGTAATCCAAACTGAATATAACTTTTTCATTCTGGGTTTAGAATTTAAAAAATGGAGAAAACAAACAAAAAAAAAAACAGCACTGATCAGTCAAAATGCAGGTTATATAATGCTGTTAGCTACATTGAGTATTTTGGCCTTTGAATCCATCACCTTAGATTTGTTTAGATGAGCAAGACACTTAAACTGTGCTGTTTGGTATTGGCAGAGACTTCACAACTAAAATGTCTTTGTGGTCATTTCGTATTAGCCCTGCAATCAAGTGCAAAGTCCAGGAGCTCTGTAACTGCTCTCATTATCAGTAAACTCTAGTGTTACCAGGCATTAAGAGTAAACCAATTCTAGGGTTATGTCTTGACCGAGGAAATTGAAATTTTCAAAACTGAATTATTCATTTCTTTAAAGTGACAAAATTCATCTTTAAATGCCACCTATGGGGGTTTTAGGGCGTCACTGTGACTCCCTGTAGTGTCAATGGTTTTGACTGGTTGAATAAGCATACATGTGGCCGTGTACATACACACACACACACACACACACACACACGCACACACACACGCACACAAACAGTGCAGTGGCTGTTGTGAGATGGGAGGACTTTCAGACTGGCACAGAGACAGTGCAGGTGCCAAGAAAATGGCATCTGCATACAGTAATACAACGTAGGAGTCCTAGAAATCATCTGGAAAAAAAACAAAACAAACCAAACTATAAACGGCAGCATTTGCGTGCTCAGTCAGCTGCTGGATGGCCAAATGTGTGTTTGCACTAGGAAGACTTTAGCAGTTGTCTGAATGTGGATGACAATTTGTTGTAAAATTAGATTACGTGTCAATGCTGTCCATCATTTCTTTGTTCTATTGAAGCCACCTGCCTTGATGCAGCAGTGATGTTTATTACAAAACATTTTATGACGCTTAGATGTTCATCTCCTTGGCAAAAATCCAACCCATAAATCTGTTTGATTAAAACAAAAACAGATCTGGATTCTGGACACAGCTGTGTACTACCAAACCATCGTGAAATTCACTCATGTCACAGGGTTTAAAGAACTTTCTTTTTTTTGTTGTTTTTTTTACAAGTTCAGAAAGGCCAACAGTGTACCTATTGTATTGCAGTTAAAGACAAGCTGAAACTCTTTTGCCACAAAGCATGAACCTAAATGAGCAGAGACACTGTTGAACTTCAGCCATTCAAATGTTCAGTGAGTGGCTGCGACATAGAAATGTAGCTTTTCCCACCTTGGCATGGTTTTTGACACTTTGCTCTCAGAGTCAAAGGCAGACAGTGTTGATATATGTATTCATATAAATAACAAAATAGTACAGTATAAATATAAAGATTCTGCGTGTGTGTGTGTGTGTGTGTGTGTGTGTATGTATGCACGCACACATGTAAATGGTGTGTGAGTATAGATAAAAAGAGTGTGTTGTGTGTGTGTGTGTGTGTGTGTGTGCGCTTGTGAACCAGTGTTAGGACAGGACAGGGGTATTAGAGGTGAGGCTTTCCCTCCCCCACCTCATGGAAGAGCGAGGTGTAAAACTCGGGCTCCAGTTGCTTGTTGCGGTAACGCTGGACAATCTCCGTTATTTTCTGCTTCCGCCTCACGTGAGGCGGGTTGTACAAGTCACTTTCCAGACGCTTCCGTCGGCACACGTTGATGACTGTTTGACGCACAAGGAACCCTGGGAGAAGGACGCAAACACGTGAGCTCATCAGTAGTCGAATGTGACAGGTCTGAGAATGTGTACAAACATTTTTCCTACTGCTTTGACTGAGGGACAGAGTTTAACATTTTTTAAATGCATTCTTAGATAGAAAATCCTGCTTCCAACTCTACCATCTGCTGATCATAAGTGGGATTACATGCATTAAAAAGCAGCGTGACCTTTCTTGTGTTTTTCAAAGTAACGGTGTGTATCAGCACAGGAGAGATACATGCTAATGATAAATTAGTTCTTCCATGGTGTTGCTAAACCATGATGTTTCCACTGGCTCTCTCATAGCAAATGACACCCATTCTTTGTTCATGTTACAACACATAATGTACAAACTGAAAAACAATACAAACTTATTAAATGGAGAATATGGAGAATTCCAATGCATCTCAAAGTCAGATGCCAACTATAAAATATTAATGTGTGCACATTGGTATTTCAGTACGATGATCAACAATCCTAATATACTCCCTGTGATGCAATAAGATGTGTTGACACTCTTCTTTCAGAGGAAGTGTGGTTGGCAGGGAGGGACAAGTTAAGTCAGAGCAAGCCACACACAGCTATTACCTAGAGCTCTGCGGCTGACCACCATGCCGTCCACCAGGGGAATCACCATGCCAAATTTGCCCACAGCTCCATGCAGCCGGATCCTGAAGAGTCCCGTCTTCAGAGGGTGGATGAAGATCAGAGGAACGTCCTTCTCTAGTAACCCCGACCTGCAGCAGGAACAATTAGGAAGACAAAACGTAAAGAAGATACTGAAAGTGATTTGTCACAATGATAAAGAAACAATGTAATAAGACTGTAGTTTTAAACTGTTTTAAAATGTGATTTGTTTCCCGTGGGAATACGTTGAAAATATTTAAATATACAATGTATATGTTTGAGGAAAAGCATTACAAGCCATTCTATTAATTTTACCATCATTAGGGCAAAACCACGCACGTTAGGTCCATAACAATAAGTGCATGTAGCGACACATCACTGCTGCTTGCTACTCTATTTCTGAGATGGTTCTGTGTTTATAAAAACACAGGATATGATTTTGCTATGTGTACAAAGCTGATACCTGAAACATCATTTAATAATAGAACAAAATGACATTTGTAAATGAATACCATATTTATACCTGGAAGGACAAACATATTTTGACAGATCAGAGTGTCGTCACGTAGCACTTGACTGAACTTAAGCGTAAATACTAACAGGTTTTCACGCGACAAGAAACAATTCTGTAGGCAGAAAAAATGTGTCAGTGTGTTTATGCCTGACTGGCCAAAAATAGCTTCTGTGGTTGCTCTGAAAATAAGAAAAAAATCAATTTAGCAATCTTCAAATATGCCACCCACCCATTATCTTCCAAGGAACCTTGGAAATCGGAAAAATTAGTTATGTCACAGATGAAATAAATGGTTGTTATGTTGTATCAGATCACACAGCTTCAGATGACGCACTCTCAAAAGTGGTATTATTAATTTGGTTAAATACAACACATTTAAATCCATTTGACGCTTGTAATCCATGTCCTTGATGATGAAGTTGCTAAGTAGCACATTATCTCTACCTTAAAAACAACATACATATGAATCACACTTCACAAAAACTTTATTTTCCTTTAAGCCACTTCACACTCCTAACTGTCATCACGGCTCTGTCACAGTTCCTTTTCTCTGCTTGCTTTTGCATGTACTGCATGTTGTACTTCCTGTTTTGCACTCTTGTGTGTTTATGCATTTCAGAGCACATGCTGTTTTGCAGAACTGAACTAACCAAATACCAATTCATGAACTGTATGTGTTCCATACTGACAGCAAAAGCGTAAACTTCTGAATACCTGCAGGAAGTGCTGTTGCTCATGCTAGCTTCCAAGCCCGTGCTGGTTTCCGCCAACAGATCAGTCAACGGGAAGTTCTCTAAAAACACAGAAACAATGACATTCAAGTACCTCAAACCATTGGTCACGTACTTCAGAATCACTTTTTCATAGTTACGTTGTAAGGCTACAGAGGTTAAGTATTTAAGACTACAAAATTTTGTATAGAGAAATCACTCTACAAAAAGAAACATAATATAATGTAATATAATATATGGAGAGAAACATTAGATCCCCCCCCCCATTACTAGTAGTCTCAAATTACAGGACATTAAGGCAGAATAAAGAGCATGTGCCTACCAATATCATCAAAGCGCTCCACCCAGACCACAAACACCTTTGTTTCAGGACCCAGTGGTGGGAAAGACTTTCCAGTCGATGACCTCTTTGTCTTCACCAAAGGACTCAGCTAAAGAAAGAGCACAACACGCAGCACGATTAAGCAAATGCTACATTAAATGACTTAGAAATCATAATCAGAAACGTCAGTATACAGTTCAGATACACACACATTAAGCCCAACTTTACCTTCTTGGCAGACTCCAGGTTTTCAGAATGGTTGGGGAACAGCTCCAGTGTGAGATTGGGTTGTTTGTGTAAACCAGGCATGACGTCTGTGTTGGTGTCTGCCTCCACTGTGGAGTCACTGTGCACTGATGACTCCTCTGAGAGACAGCAAAGAGCAAATAGCAACTCTGTCAGTCCCGACTCCCTCACTGGGTTTTCATCATACACAATCTCTATCAGTTCATATTCAACGTAGTGAACACTGACCAGAATTTTCTGTTAGAGATGGAACAACGAAGGCAATCTCTGTCAGAGCATCAGCGTAGTACAAAACTTTCTTCTCCCCATTGAACACAGAACCTCCTGTGTCCTCAGGAGTAGTTGCTTCCTCTACAGGGAAATTTTAAAAAAAAAGTTACTCATTGAGTTAGTTACCACAAACATCTAATAGATGAGATCTTCTTCAGCTCTAATGCAGGAGTTAGTTTAGTCGTTTACCTGTTTGTTGTATGTCATTGCTGTCAGAGCAGGAGTTGAGGGACCAGCTGGTATCTAGGTGTCCCGTCCATCCTGGGTGGCGTCCCACGTCCACAGGCCAGCCCAAGGACAGTAGGAACTCCAAGAAGTGGGGCTGGACACTGGATGATGACTCCACATTCCTCAGGATCTGATCACACAGAACAAGTACAGATCCATTCTTATTCAGACATTTTTATACAAATACTGTAACAGGATCAACACTGTTTTATGGAGAATCTGTTATGTGTTGCCTGCGTTCCCTCACCTCATGGCTGCTTTTCTGTCCAGCTCTCACATAGAAAATAAAGACAGTGTCAAATGGCCGACAGGGAAGCAGGTCCAGGTAGCTGATGTCATCAAAAAACCCTGGCAAGGATGACTCCAGGCCAATCAGATGAGGAGGTAGACGACTGTTGTTGGGTTCCTATCAATAATAAATGAATGTAAGTACATTTTAAATAAACTGTATTAACAAGAACAATATTATGAATGTACGTAAGAATACGACTTTTCACATTATGGTATCATTATACTTTATTATGAGTATGAATTTAAACTTAAATTTAACATTAAATGAAAAAAAAAAAGCATTTATATATGGTTTATATATATTATTATATATGTTTATTTGATTGATAAGTTTAAATAAAGGCAATAACAGAGAGTTAAACAGAATCACAAGGCAAAGTTCAGTATAAGCAGCGGGAAGGCTTATAGATGATATTCGACATTGGCATAAAATGTTTTTGCACAAGTTCAGTCCAAGAGATTTTCTCATTTGCCATGAAAAATAAAGTTATCAGACAAATTACGTTTAACCAACCTTGAGTGCCTCCAGAGACAGAAAGCCAAAGTGGGAGAGGAAGAGGCGTGCCGTCTGGAACTCCTGTGAGGGTGGGGGGGGTTTACAGTCTATCTGTGGGTCGGGGAAAGGTTTGGACTTCCAGATTTCCTCACTGTGCCGCTCCAAGGCGTTCTCATACTCTATCTGCTTGTGCATCAGAATGCGAAGCTTGTCGTGCTGAACTTCCAGCTGAAAAGAAGACGGACACGGGACATTTTTTTTTTTTTAAAGACAATTTCAAGACACTTTGGCTGATGAATGGCACTTGACTGCCTAAATTCAGCATTAACCCACAAAGGGCAAGTCCCACAGCCCAAACACAGAGTTGTCAACCCCCAGAGACGATGTGAAGAGTCACTCGTGTGCGTCTGTGATTTAAAATGTTGTTACCAAACATTTGAACAGAAAAGAAGTCACCATTTTATTAACTAAACTTGTACAAGATAATCCAATCCAGTATAACAGCCTGTTAATAAATCCAGTCTTTGTGAAGCTTTTAATACACACTGTCAGAGAGTAATTGATTCAGCCCTTATTGATTTTTAATTATTGCATTGGATTGAGAAACCACACAAAACAATCATCGAGAATCTGTCACCAAACCAGATGATTTGAACCTCTTTTCCAAGAGACACCCGAGTGAAATTTCATCCCTCCAACAACTCACGTGTGGGGGATTACTCAGTGTATTTGTAGCTCTTGAATCATCCTGCCAGCCCAAACAACACACCTGAGTTTGTATAATAACAAATAATATGATCGATTAATTTACTTTATGGCTATTTTTTTTTTAGCAATGACAACAAATAATCTTGGTTTAGCTTATACCCATAGTAGAATTATCTTATTTGTATGTGATTAGCCATAATGTGGATATGAGATCAATAACAGGATTTAACAGAAAGCTTTTCTCTTACCTCTCTACTGACAATGTCATCCAGGTCAGGAATACTAACATCAGCTTTGACAAGGGGAATCTTATCCACTTCTTCAGGGAAGGGCCTCTGCTTGACGTTGTATTTGATCCCCACGTCATTGTTGGGCATCGGACGGCCCTCGGGAACAAACACCTGCTGTGGGAAGAGAGAAGCAGACGGATATGGAGATGTGTTATCAGTGAACCAGTTGTGGAGTTTCAAATTTAACAAACTCGCGACTCTAAGGTGTCACATTCAAATATTTCTAGGGTGATAATGGTTTAGCGTTGTTGGCAAACCTTATCCAGTAATCTACAGTGTGATCTCACCCTCTGATTGGCCCGAGCTCCTCTGGGTTGGTGGAAGAGCTGCATGGTCCAGGCATGTCTGCCGGCTGTGCCTCGGATCAAAACTGTCACTGATGGACTGGGGTCTGTGAGGACAGAGACATTTACTGAACATTTATTGTTATTTACCGGTGCTTGGTACTTGGCAGGTAATACAACCACTACTTACAACTAAAAATGAACCCAGAAAGAACTTAGTTCTCCCCTGTATTGCAATAAACTATTATTATGTCAAAGGAAGGATGCTAAGCCACTGACTCTGCTCATTGCCGAGAGGCTGCTCCAGCATGGCGAGGATGACCGAGTTGTCCAGGACAAAGTAGCGGAAGTTGCTGGCCCCTGTGGCACTGAGTCTGGCGTAGCGGATCAGGGTGTCTTCATTCAGTAGGCTGCAGGTGGAGGCGGGCCCGCTGGGAGAAGGGAAGGCCCCCAGCACCTGCATGATACTGGGGAACACCACAGGAACACAAGGACACAAATGAGATGAAACTGGGTCAATGGGTACGTGTCATTTCAATAGTCGCCCGTGTGGTTCAGCAGAAAAACTAGGTCACTGACGAAGCAGTAAAACAGACAAATCAATAATTTAGTGCTAAAATTCTAACTTTTACAAAAAGTTAATTTATTTTCAATATTATTTTACTGTTGAAAGGGAAAAATATCTTTTTATTCAGAAATGCTTGGACCGTATCGTGTGTATTAAGTTTTCCTTTATTTTCTGTGGTGTCAGTCAGGCAACACCAAAGGCTGTTATCTATTAATGATGTATACTGTATATCAAACATATAACATAGCAGTTATAAGACATTTTTTTTTTATTATTAGCAATACAAATGCACTTTAACATGGTGGACTTTTACTTTGCTACCTTGTCAACAAGCCAAGCTGCAAGACAAAACAAGTGTCTGTGCTTGCTTCAGACCTCTGTGGAGTCAGTGTCATACTCTGCTGTCTGGATGTCACTCTGTCACCGTTACAAAGGCGATTGTTACTGTTTAATGAAAATGTTACTACATGTTTTGATTGGGTGTATGCAAAGGAGTTCCTCCTCCACATACTGAGTTGAATACCCAACAGCATGTCTTTTACATACATAGGTAGGAGACAGAGATAAACACAAATGTAAATTCTTCCCTTTCTCAAAAGATGGCCATGTACAAGAAAAAGTACAAGTAACTACATCAAATAACTTTAACTCTGATCCATTCTGTATAAAGTCTGATGATTCTCACCAGGACAAAGTCGCCTCAGCAGCGTCCTTTACCCTCATCGAAGCTGGGTTGTGCTCCTTCTCTCCTTTATGTCGAACTTCCTGTTCCTGTCGAGACTTGCTACCAGAGATCCCCAGCTCCACAATCTCCAACACCTCTACCAAACAATCCTGATACAAAAAGAGTATTTTAACAAAACTCTAAGCCTCTAACCAAACAACATATCGGAGCGATATTTCAAATCCAGTCTTTAAGCTTACCTTCTCATCCAGCATGTCAGGGTGTTCTGTGAGCCACACACACAGAAACTGAAAGGCAGCTACAATCATGGAGTGGAGGTCTCGGGATTGAAGAGGAGCTGGACGGCTACACTGGTACACAATGTACCCACATATAGAGCTGACAGCACGTTTACGGTCTGCAGAGTCTACTCCCACCTTTACCTGGTTTAGACGTATACCACAAGTAAAGGAAAATGCTCGACATTAGACACATAACAGAAATTCTTCATTTCATGCCACTGGGAAAACTTTTTTATAGGCTTTGGTGCATAAGAGATTAACTGTTTTACTAAATTAGGACACATTTGATTCATTGTGCTTTTAATTAAAAAATGAAATTACAATATTATTAGAAATAGTATTTATGTAAATTAAATAACCTCATGTAACCTCAATGTTATCCTGGTCTTTTCCTCTGAATTTGTGTCAGATATTCACATATTAAAGCCAATTACTGTCCATTGTACTAATGAGTCCGTATTTAGAACGCGACACATCTCAAGGCATAAAAAACAACTGTACATCCATTACAGAAACTTATGCTGCTGTACTTTTTGACACAATGAGGGCAACCCCCTTGTGATGAACTTGGAAAATTCTGACTCATAAGTTGACATGAACCACCCAGATGCAACGCTATTTTTGCTATCTGTGACGCTGGTGTGTCTCATTTGGGAGGGATCAATGGTTAAGATAAAACCCTTTAATGAGTTGTCGAGTGTCACACCATCAATTTCTGTGAGCCTTGGTCTTGAAGGAGAAAACTGCTGTGGTTTCATAAATTTACAGTGTTGAGCTAAAAGATATTGCTGGTTGAGACTTGGTTGGGTAACATGGATAAACTTGAAGACATACAGTACTTGAGTGCAGATTGTTACAGTGAGTCTCTGTGGTGCTAGCTTTACCTTGGCAAGCCCAGCCAGCAGCTCCAGGGCAGCCAGGGAAATGCTCATGTCTTGCCTCCACTGAGAGTTGAGCCTCTGGGTGACCAGGTGGATGCTGCGCACCAGCAGGCCTGCCGCCGTATCTGGAAGAGCTAGACCATATAACACCCGGAAATACCAAACACCGCAAAGATAGATAGAGCAAAGCAGAATTCAGGCAACAAAGCTTAAGTACACATGCTTACAGGAAAAATGTCCTGGATGCCAAAGATACGTTTAGGTATTGAGAACATGCATTGTGTTTGAAATCAGAACAGCACACCATATTGAGCAAAGTTTGGACTGAGGGATAGATAATAAATAAACTGCGGAGGAACAGGGCTGAGCGATGTCAACATTTTAAAAAATTCTTATTTTGACTTTTAAGACAAAAAAATTGTATGATATAATTCAATATAATAATTCAGATTTTTTTTTTTTTTTAAAACCCTGACAATTTAAAGAATTAGTTAGTATTTAGATATAATAAAGTTCTTCTGATCAAGAGTAATTATTTCTACATCCATCTATCTATTTCAGAGTTTCTACCTAAAGAATCAAGGAGAGCTAAAAACACTAAGTGATCATGTTGATGCTTCGGCATCGAGCCTCTCCAAGATGCAGATCTGGCTCCAATTTCAGAAATAAGGTCTCTTATTTTCTGAATTTATGATTAACAAAAAAATCCCAAATTCTGCTGAATTTATGAAACAATGACCCCCCAGACTCCCGCTCGCTCTTGTTTTTCCTGTCCAGTACTGAGCCACACAATGCAATGCAACCATCCTGTCCCACAGGAACCCTGCAGAACCCCCTCCCCCTATATCCTACTGGATAAAGTCGCCTATAAGCCGCACAGTGCTCAGAGAAAATAGACATAGAATTGAAGCTCTCATAGCTGTCATTGTCAATTTATTTAAAAAATAAAAAATAAAAAATAAATTTAATTTATAATAAATAAAACAACAACTCTAACATCACAATGTCAGTCAACCATCGCTCAGTCCTCCAAAGAAAAAGACAAAATCTTTGAAATGCTTTTGATTAGTCAACACTGCTGCAACAAATCAATTAGAGAGAAAAATGCAATCAGCCCTAGCACTCCATACGTCTCAGTGCCAAAATGTTGTTTCATAGCACAGCATCACAGCAACAAATAACTTTGAATCACCTACAAAAACATTTTACCCAACGCTTCTTAACTCTGCAAAGCACTTTAACCACGTTAGCTATAAAGAACAAATGTGTTAATTTAGTAAGTGACATGTTTACACTGATCAGGAAACAGGTACTGACCACATGAAATAACGCTCCAGCAAGTCTGTTATGCACCATCTCACCAAAACCGGCGCTATTGTGTTAATTCACCAAGCACAAGGATATTAGTGCATGAGTATCTGCGTGTCTTACCGTAGTCTCGGAGCAGGGCCTGGGCCGGACGCTCAGAGTCTGGGCTGGTAGCCTCTGTGCTGCCTCCACTGGTGAAACTAATGCCACTGTTGGTGCGGCTGTGACTCCTCACTGTCATGTGACTCCCGTCTATACTTCCCTGCCACCACAAAAAACAAAGCAATCTTGATGTCCAGTCCATGACACCGCTGCTAGCATCATAAAATGTTAATTATTTAGCCGTAGGAAACAGCAGTGATCTGAGCCTTACTGTTTCGGTCTGTGCACCTATGGACTCCAACAGTGCTGAGTCTTGAACAATATTGAGCATTGCACCTGAGAGGGGGGGGTGGGGGGGTTAACAATAAAAAATATACAAAGAACAATATATGGACAGAAAATTTAGAAAATGATTTAGGTCAGTATAAATACAGCACAAGTAATATGGAGAGGCAAAATAAATGGATAGAGAGGATGTTAAGGGGGCAGCAGATACCCAGGATGAGCTGTGTGTTAGTGGGGTCGGTCTCAGTCTGCAGCGCTCCTATCAGGACATTGACAAGACGTAGCCTCAGGGACAGGAAGGAAACGGGCTGGTCATGAGGCCACCCATCCTCCTCATTGAACTTTCCCTCCAACAGAACCTGAAGCACACAAAGTCAATATAGTTAACAACCTGGTTTATCTGAAAACGAAGCAAACAATAAAAACTTTTAGGGCTTGCTTTACTGTAATGCGAAAATCTAAAAGCCTTGTGGAGTTTAAAACGTAAAGAAAGAATGATCTAAGCCCTCATGCCTTTAACCTGTTAAACATTTCAAATAAGCCAAAAGAAAAGGAGAAATGAGGTTCAATGACAAAAACCGACTCAAAATCTTTTAAATTCTGCACTGAAAAAATGCACCAATAAACCAATAAAATGAAAGAAGTAAGCAAGAGTTACCTCTGATTTGATGTTGCCAAAGTGATGCGGCAGTGGCAACATGGCCAGCAGGATGTTGATGGAGGCTCTCCTCAGGTCGGTAGGGTTTACATACATCTTGAATTTGGACAGCTCCCTGGAGGAGTACAAACAAATCTCACATAGACAAACTTGAGACAATATCCTCAAAATTGCCCTCAAACGGAGAAACCTGACTAAGATCATATGGTTTTCACATTCATGAAAATATCATCTAGTACACTCATCCAAAATTAGTGAAAGCACTACTAGTCTAACCTGTCTGGTACAATAGTCTCCAGGGCAGCTATGAAGTAGGGCACCACCACATTGATGCCCTTCAGGTCAGTACAGAAGAGAGAGGAGGAGTTGAGAATGATGGAAGCCAGAACTGGTCTACAGATGAAATCGGAGATCTGGAGACCCTGAATCAGGACCATGTAAAACCTGCAGAAAAGAGACAGAGGAGTCACAATATATCAGACATTCTACTTATAGTTTTGTACAGTTTAAGATCTTAACAGCCAACAGAAAAATTGCATGTGCACAGTTAGACTGATGAACGAAATAAGAAAGTTGACTATGTTACCTGGACAGGTAAACAGGCAGAATATCTTCTCCTGTTTTCTTGCTACAGAAGATGCGGCAGAGAGTCCCGCAGGCCTCCGCTCGTCCTGCCTCGTAGCTCTCTGGGAACTCGTTGGCGTCAAACATGGGGTTCGACACCATGGAGTCGGTGGACATTTGAGAACCCTTCCTCCTCAGCTCCAGACCTACTTGAGTGGCTATCGCTGTAGAGAGTGGGAAGAGACACAGAATGAAAGGACGCTGAATTGTAATTTGGTCATTAGTACTCATGCATGTATGAGAAACAGGCAAACATGTATCTACTGTATGCACAGTACAACAAAAAGTAACAAAAACTGGAAAAAACTGGAAAAACAAAAGCACCACAAAGCAGACATTTTAATCACTATCACAAAAAGATAAAACAAAGACTTTAATGACTGCAAACACACATTCACATCATTTAAAAGCATTCAATAAAAGGGAACTCTGACACAAAGAGTTTGCCGTAGAAGCTCTACCTATCACTGGCACAAGGCATGACCAAGTGTAGTGTGCTGGCAATAAAATGTCTCAGTCATTCTCTGCTGCAAGACCACTAAACAAAATCCCTGTGTCAGCTCCCTCGCTGCCGCAATTATATGACTGTCACTCAAGGTACAGAACATTCACTTCATGCATTGAGGCACCAAACCAATCAAAATCAAAACTCAAGTAAACCAACAATACAAAAGGAAATTACAACAAACAAAACAATAATGCTGAACTTTGGGGGGGGGGGTCTGAAACTAAATAATAAGGATTAGTGTGACCCAAAAAAAGAAAATGAGAACTCAAAAACGGGGTGGCGTCACAAACTGGCAACGTTATGATCGAGACAAGTGGTCAGTTGGTGAAACCCATTCCATCACCTTTGGAGAAACGCTGAGAGAACGCTGGTGAACTTTTATATATGACAAGGAGTGGGAACAGAAAACAATGGTGACAATGGCGATGATCATGAGGAACTCAACTAAAAAGCAGGAAGATTTGTCAAGAAACGCAAATCAAGTGAGGAAAAAAAGCTGCCGTTCCTACTTACAAGATTTATAAGAAAGGAGAATTTGGATAAAAGAGGCTGCAAGATAACAGAAATAGTGGAGAGACACAAAATCAAAGCAGATCCAATATTTTGGGATCAATTCATATCAGGCATGAATTGTTTTTTTTTTTTTTTGTTCTCCTCAATACATGACTTTTGACCCATTACAACTCTTTAACATTAATCAGACATGGTAGACACGTGCAGGACACTACACCAAAAAGAGAAAAATAAATGGAGAGCCAATGAAAAGCCAAATTTATTTTAAAATACTAAGTACTGAATGTGCTGTCATTGACTCCTCTAGCGATGATTTTACCAATAAAAATGAATCTATATGAAATCCTCAGCATATGGTTATAGACTATATGCAGTTTTAGCCATGTATAAATAGTTGGTAGATGTAAATGAATTAGAATCAGATGGAAATTTCATACCACGCCACTTCTAACCAAGCCCTCCACACACAGAAAAGCACAAAGAAGTTTCAGAGAAAATGGTGAAAAAGGAAAGGATATCCCAACGACATACAATAAAAAATAACACGGACACCAAAAACACAGAGAACTCCACAAAGACACATACTAAAGAACAGCGACAGAACACCCACCTGACCATGCATTAATGGAAACGCTATAGCCATCGTCTCACTTCTTACCGGTCATGCTCGGGTCTCGGCTGAGGCCGCTGTGGAGCTTACAGTGCACCAGAGCAGCGTCGAAAAGCCACTGGCCGAACAGGTTAAGGATGCTGTTGACCTTTGGCCGTGCCGGGGCCGGCAGAGGCCGAGACTCCCAGCTGCTCTGGTTGGGGCTGGAAAGCAGGGTCGGGGAGGACGAAGTTTGCTGCTGCTGCTGTTGCTGCTGGGATGCTTTGGTTGGTTGACTTCCACTGCCCTGCAGGGTGGGGAGGGATAGAGGAAGACATCTGATCGGGGTGTTGACAGCATGATCAGTGCGACTAACAAATCAAACATATAAAAGATGAGTTAAAAAGATAATTTCTTCACATAAATATGACAAATGTATTAGCCCTGTGCTGTCAGTAGAGCAACTGCAAATAATAAACAATAAAAACACAGCTCTGCAGTTTGTGGTGATTTAATGCACTTACAGTCGAACTCTTGCTTGTGGTTTTGGTGACCACTGTATGCCGCTGCTTGCGGCTGTGAGGGGGCGTGGTGTTGGTGATGGAGGGGGGCGGAGACATGCTCAATCTGTTGACTGGGGTGGGCGGGGCACTGTCAGCTCTGGGACGTGATATACCTGTTGATAGAAAGGTCATTAAAGTTTCCAGTAGCCAGAACTGGCTTTGTAAACTAAATTAAAAATAATTTCTAATATTATTAAGGAGGCAGAAAAATGAAGTTTTGAGTCTGTGAGTTGATCATAGATAATGTTCATTGGTAGACATGCAAGACAATGGTTAGATACAAATCACCAGTAATTGATCTCCATCCATCTTGATTGACTTTTTATTCCCGCAGGAGACCCCCTTGTTGATGATCTTGTAGTTTAGTCTGAATGTCTGGGACTTATCATTTTGCTACAGCAAAACTAATCCCAGTTGTTAATATCATCACCACCAATAAATAGACCATTATATTCCCATCTCATTATATGACGTGTCAGCCGATGTCTGTACCATGAGAGAGCAGCACTGGGGAAAAAGTGAACACCCTCTCGCGTACATCTCTCTTTTCAACAGAGATACCTACAGTGTAAAGACAAAAATACACACGGACATTTTTCTATTCAAATGTTTCAACAGGTGTTACTGACTGACATCCTCCATCTTGAGTTCGCTCAGGAGCAGTGCCTGTACAACAACCGGGAAAGGAGTAAAAGCTGTTACAAGAACTTACAAGTGCCTTGTATTGCTGGCTCCTCTGACATACTTGACTTTTTTCACCACTCATCACATATACTTTACATTTTTGCTTACCCTTTTTAGCTTTTTAAATGTATTTTTTTTAACCCTCCAGCAGCCATTGGTATCCACAGATTTCAACCCACAACGACAGTTAAGCTGTTAAGCATCTTGACATTCATTTGAGATGGATCACAATAAACACTACATCTGCTTTTAACCTCGTCTCTTTTGAATGTTAAGTAGGGCAGCGGCTGGAAATCCTCATTATCCCGTGCCACAATTATCTAATTTTATCAATATGAATGAGCATCAATAGGTGCCTTGAAGGTAAGCATAACAATTTCAAAAACAGGAATAATGTTGACATGCTTTTTGGTATATTTGCTAAAACTTACAAAACACATGTAGAATCACTGTGATGAGTTTTACCTTTTAATTCTGAAATACATCCTTTTGTTAGTTTTTTTTTTATTTTTTTATTTTTTTATTTTTAAACATTTACACTGAAACGTCTCCCCCCAAATGTCCATCTTACCCAAGAAGGCGTCCACTAGGCAGCTGACACCCCTCATGGCCCTGAAGAAGATCTGGGGCAGCTGTTTCAAACACGGATGCAGCACCACTTCATGAGGGATACCGCTGGAGTTAAGAAACTGCTCCTGAAACTTTGGAGTGGTGCTCACTATCGCAGGGTTGCTCAGGTCCACTGGGTTACTGGAAACAAACGGACAGCAAATTCATGCATTAATGCAAAAAGCTTACAGACGCTGTTTTGGATGTATGTTATATCTGATATAAGACTGGATAAGACCAACAGATAGATGGACAGACAGAAGGCTGAATGAAAGAATGAATAATTAAAAGGGATGGATGAATGAAATCATAAAAAACCCGACCTTTAAACAAATTAACATAACGTGATTCTTTTATAGACAGGAAGTAGAGTACATAGAGAAGAGGAATTCTTGATAGGAATGATATGAGGTGCTTTAGTCCCACTATGTGCAACAACTTTCTTGTCTCTTGCAACAGGTGAACAAAGAAACCATCTGTGTCTGTTAGGGGTTAGTTTAATGAAAGAGGAGCTTTGTTATTTTCAGGTGAGAACACAGAGAATGCAGTAATGTTGAGGAATTATGCACCTGAGCATGTGGAGAAAGCGGTACCACGTCTGTGCCACGCAGTCACTGTCCATCTCTAAAGGAATCAGGTTGGCGTCCTCATCAGGAACTTTAAAAGGTGGGAAGGACGGTCCGTGGGTAAAACGCAAAAGTCTGGAAAACAGACAGAGACGCACAGATTGTCTCACTCAGAGAGTACATACCCTGCAAGGCAGATAGGCAGCTATTTTAACTCTACTCAAACTACTCAATAATAAAAGTCTAAACAAAACTCACTCTCAGTGACGGTGTGAAACTTTTTTCAGGACTAAATCCAAAACCACATGAACTTGAACTGATGCCTTTCTCACCTGGAGGTCAGGGCACAGGCCACTCTGCTCCACTGCTCTACAACAGGCGGGTGGTGTCTCCAGTTTGCCAGCATCTCCCTCGCTGTCTTCCAGTACGGCGGCGTGGGAAAACAGCGGGCGCAAGCAAGCAGCCACACCTCAAATAGCACTGCCATCAATTTCTCTGCCAGTTTCTCTGCCACTCCAACTGGGGAAAAAAATTTAAGTTAATTATTAAGTAATTATCCCAAATAACTAATTAAATACATCAAGAACGGTTTAAGAGGACAGCAAGTGGCTTACCTCCGACAGTGGGTGGGGCAAGCAATGTGTCGTTGATGCGAAGCAGGAAGAGCAGCAGCACCTCCCAGGTTTCCCTAACCATGGAAACAGACTCTCTTGCCAGTTTTTGGACTGCAGTCAGAACCTGCTGGCAAAGCCTGATATGGTTCAGACTGTGCTGCTCAGGCCTGGAGACAGAGACGCGGTGTTTGTAATGAGGGAACAAGGAAGGAAATCAGAGAGGTAGTGTTAACAGCAGGCATGATACGTGGTATCAGAGGTTTATGTAGGAGGACTCTTAACAGCGGGAGATATGGTGTAAAAACAAACATATACAACCATGCAACAAGTCTTCATTTCAATTTAAAAAAAACGGCAGCTAATTGGAGATGAAGGCTCCTCTGTGAACATTTCTGACCTACCTGGGTACAAAGACGTTGTAAAGATGTTTGAGGATGGTCTGGACGTACATATTGGGCTCCTTGACCACAGGCTGAGGCATCGAGTCCCTGGGTGACACCAGGGCCATCATCCAGTCTGTGTACACATCTACACACAGCTTGACAGTGTCCCCTTCAAGGGGGAGAGTGAGGCCATAACACAGCACCTCCATGGTCCACTTCACCTAGGGAGCCAAACCATTCTCATTACTTCATGTAAATGTTTTAAATTATGACTTATTGATTATTTTGCAGCATTTTGCTGTGTATATTTCTGTTGAGGAGTCCTGTATCGCTGGCAGCTCTGAAAACATATTTTCAACATGATAATATTCTGTCAAAAACAGATATTAAAAAGGCAAGTGATGAATGAAAACCAGATCATCATTCTTCCTTCAAAGTTACATTTAAATATTTGATCATTTCCAAATCATGCTTTCCTGCCCACGATCCCGATTTAAGTCCTTATATACTCACTACACACAAACACTGAATCCAATCTACGTCTTTTTTTATTTAATTTTCCTGCATCATAGAACTACATACAAAGCCTTAAGTCTGCCTACATAAAAGCCTGTATAACAGCTCCCCTTGACAGTTTCCTGCAATATTTTGTACCATTTTCTACAGTGTTTTGTGTAATATTCGTGAAGCAGGTGGGGAGTCAGTACAGATCAGTATTGGCAAGAAGGTTTATCTGAGCTTTATCCTCAGCATGAAGTGAAGTTCAAAGCACCAGCAGCACAGGTGCACCTGAGGAATATTGCTGAAATATTTTTAACCCAACGCACCTTCTCTCACATCAATTCCTGACGCATGCAGTCATACCATTAACTGAAACTCCTGGCTTGCTGTGAGCTCTTTGGTTCAATTGCTCACAACGGTGTGTATGAGCAGACGTTCCAGGGTTTTATCAGAGCACAAGGGAGACTTTTTTGACAGCTGACATATACAGAGCATAAAAAAATAAAAGGATAAGAAATTGATCTGGCTTTAATTAACTTGCCTAAAATAAGACTCAGTCCTGATCCCAAGGAAGAGCTCAGGACATCCCCATTAAACACACATACTGTAGAGATATGTAGCGTTTGCTGCAGAGGTTGTAGGATATAAAAATAACCATTTACAAAGTGGTTTTCTTGTCACTCAACACACAACACGTAGAGAAAATACACATACACATTGGCACGCAAAGTGTGTCCATTGTCGTTTATATGAGAGGTGAAGTGAGGGCAGAGCTATTCCAACAGCATTAAGCGTCTGTTGTGTTTCAGGCCTAAGCCTCCTGCAGAGATAAGGGAAGCTATCTCTGTAGCACTCATCAGTCAGGCCTTTACATGCTAGAGTAGCTACACCAAAGAGACTCCTGAGTAAAAAGACTTATGACGGCCCAAATGGGTTTTTGCTAATGGCACTTTGATGGACTTTGACAGCACTTTGAGACTCTGGTCTCTTGACATAATAATTTAACTCTTTGGCCTCAATGTCAAGAATCTGGTCAAAATCAAGGTCAACAAACATACCATGAACCCTACAGTGTAGATGCTGTACCATTAAGTTGATCACTGCTTATTTCAATATATTCCCTCACTGTTGCCACACTAAGCTGCATGTCCACAGAAATAATTTGCATCACATTTCAAAACATTTTCTTTAGTAGTTTAACTTCATTTGAAGAAATCAGAGATCAAATGAGTTTTTACGAACACTAACCCTGTTATCTCAACTTGAGTTGTATGAATGTACAAAAAAATATCTTGACATTAATGCTTTTCAAATGGTTAGCAATTACTCAACTAAATAGTGTAGTACAAACTGAACTCTGCTAACTGGTGTTGTGCTACAACACATCTTATGATGGATCAATGAGGCCAACCTCTCTTCAGTCATGAGAAAACACAGTGAATTCAGAAAGTATTCAGACCCCTTCACTTTCCAGGTTCTTAGTCACCTATCTTACCAACATCCTTCTTCCCAAGTTGCTCAATTTGGCCGGGCGGCCAGCTCTAGGAAGAGTTCCGGTTGTTGAAAACTTCCACTTAAGAATTATGGCAGTGCCTGTGCTGTTGGAAACCTTAAATGCAGCAGAAATGTTTTTGTGGATTTCCCAAGATCTGTGCCTCGACACTATACTGTCTCTGAACTCTGCAGATAGTTCCTTTGACCACATGGCTTGGTTTTTGTTCTGATATGCATTGCCAGCTGTGAGACCTTATATAGACAAGTGTGTGCCTCTCCAAATGTACAGTCAAATTAATTCACCACAGGACTCCAATCAAGTTGTAGAAACATCTCTAAGATGATCAAGAGAAATGGGAGGCGAGGCACCCATTTCTCTTAACTGCCATAACAAGGGGCCTGAATACGTATGTCAATGTGATATTTCAGTTTTCCATTTTCAACAGATTTGCAAAAATTTCTAAAATTCTGTTTTTGCTTTGTCATTATGGGGTATCGAGTGTAGACTGATGACAGAAAAAATTATTTTAAATGACCTTAAAATAAGGCTGCAACACCACAAAATTTGAAAAAGGTGAAGGGGTCTGAACACTTCGAATGTACTGCAAGTGTTCAAGCTGACAGACTCTTTTGTGCCTTGGTGATGGAGCTGGCAACTTGGAAGACTACAAAGGTATTCAATTGAAATGTCAAACACTGCATAATGCACACCACCCTGGACATTTCTCTCACCTCCTTATCTGTCTTGAGGATGTTCTCTGTGGCGACAGGGCTCACAGCTGTGCCCAGAGGCTTGACCACGGCATTTGCCACCTCCGTGCCCACGGTGGTGGGATAAGTGTGCAGAACACTGAGGTGGCCCTGGTCGCTCTGCACCACCAACTGCAGTGAGCGCCACTCGGAGTACATGCTGCCGATGTCTACTGCACTCTACTCACACCTCCTGCCTCCACCTGCAGACACACAAATCCAGTAGAGTCAACTTAATATGGCAAGTTAAGAAAACTATGAATAGGTTACTTAATACCCAGAACCAGTACAGTTGTATCCTCTGTTGTAAGAATACTCCAGGCAAGGCTGTGTTGTTGAGAAAAACACACATACCTCTCACAGCATTAGGCTATTTTTGATAGTGGTTTTGATCTTCACGACTATCATGATCAAAAGTCCATCAAGCAGCATTTCAACTTCAACTTGTTCAACTGGTTTACACTTATCTTGTGTGTTTTGGTGGGAGGAGAATGCAAGATTAAAACATATAATGTTGAGAACTACAAAAGATTAAACAATATTAAAACAATTGTGAAACACATGCATACCGACATAAAGAGCGTAACTAAAAAACGCTGTAGAAGTGTGTGAAGTCATGATAAGTGATGCATAGTTTGACAGTAAACAGTAGCCATCGAACTGCCCAGATTTTTAATGTAACTACTAACGTTACGTCCTCTCCTCCCAGAGAAAACAAAAAGTAACAAGGCTAGCGTTATATAGCGTGTGTTAAACACTAGCTGGCTTTTGAGACCTGCAAGCTAAAACGGAGTCAAGGAATGAAACACACCAACCATTTATATCCTAAACATCGGGTCGGTAACAAGCAGAGGAGTCAACCAGGAAACGGTTCTGAAAATGATTAGCTTGCTAATGTTAGCTAGCATTGACATCAAAACATCTTCATCTTGCAGATGACATTAGCTGAAGTTAGCTGTTGGCCGGCTTCTGTGTTACAAGACTATCTCTCTGAAAAAGACGACAAGTTGTCGTTAAGAAAAAAACAGCGATTCTATGTGCTAACTTATCAGTTATCTAAAACTACGTTGTAGTTGATCCGATGTTGCTAGCTAGCTTAGCTAACGTTCGCTGCGCTAGCCCGTTCGTTGACATTAGCTGTCATTTGTGCTAGCTACATAACTTTGGAAAGGCGCTAACGTTTGCTCGCTAGCTAAGTAACCAGGCGGTTTCCATTTACCTGGACCGGCTGGAAATGTTGTCATAACAGGGCTCTGAAACTCGCAGTTTTTGCTTTCTATGTATCCTGGTCTAGACCATAACAGCCTCCATCTTCGCAATGTCAAGGCTTGGATATTGCAGCTTGATGGGCTAACGGGAAACAGGATCCGTAGATCGACGCCCTCTATTGTTTGGTATAGCAACTGCAATGCTGCCTTCAGGTGCTCCTGGTGAGCTCATACTGAAGAGCTCTCCTTAAATTACGACATTTGCCACAAATAACTTAATGATAGCTGCTGTTTTCATTTACAGTTCAAATGGAGAAAAAATTACTTAATATTTCCTGGTGTCTCATTATATGTTTTCATGTCTGGAGGGATGTTTTTGCAAAATATACACCACTATGTGTAGTCATATTCACGGCAGCATTCGGGTACTCTGATTCAGTTTGAATGAATTTGGTGGTGGGAGCAGGGACTGAGCCAGACATTGTAAACATTGTAAACAACTTAAGTCAATATTCAGGGGACATGCTCCCCCAGGGAATATTTCTACCCATTCACAGCATTTGTGCATCATTTGGGAAAAACATGATAGCTGCCCAAGAAAAAAAATCATCCCGAGTCTGCATCATATTTTGAATCTAATAATTCTCTGTCTCCATCCTTTTGAAACCACAACACAACAGATTTTGACAATGACTAATTTCACTACTGTCACATAAAAAGAAGCAATAATTGTCTGATGTTACTATTTTGAATTATATGACATGAGTGGGTAATGAATCTGGCATAAACAGCATCACTAATCTTGACACCTATTTTTGTTACACTATGCTGGAGTAGAGTTCACAGATTTAATGTTTAGATGACAAATCTATATTTAAATGCAGACCATAATAAAATGTGCTGCTCTAGCTGAGCAGACATGGATCCACAACAAGGCCAAGTAAATGTCTTCAGTATTCTCAACTGAATATTAGGCCAACAGAAGAACATTTACTCCAATGATAATAAATCTCTTTAAGGAATAGCATCATAGGATAAACAACATAGACATGTACTGTAATATTATCGGACAGTATTTTATTTGATCTACTCATCATTCTGTTCTCATTCCCTCATCTTTTCTTCTTCTTTCACTCTCTCACTCCACTCATCTATCCCTGGAAAGTCGAGTCCAGTGTAATCCTAGAACACATACATGTGTGAAAAATTACATTGCTATCATGGAATTACATTTTAATTTTCAAGTTTACATGATTATCTTAATAAAGTTCCCAATAGGCTTCTATAATGACATTAATATTTATAATTTTAGCCTGTTATTTTTTATATCCAATTGAAAATCTGGATGAGGCCTGTTAGGAGGTACACTACACAGCTACTGTGGATTATGGGGTAAGCAAAGTAATTTAGCGGCTCAAAGTAATTTCAGCTGTACAACTTCAGCAGCTTGACTGATGAAAGCAAGGCTTTGCTGTTGGACTTTTACCTTCACTTCCCACTGCAGTTCATGGCTTTTAGCTGCAGTTTATTAATTTTGAACGTCCCTTTATGGTTTTTGTGTGACTTGCAGCTGGACTTCATGTTTGCTGGTTCACTCTTTCCTTTCCTGTGTGTCCATGAGACAACAGGCAGTTCGTTTTTTTCTGAACGTACACGGACCCAGGATCTGCCGATGAAGACAACAGAAGCACCTGCCCTCTGCTTTGAGATTGGACTTGATACCACTAAATTAACTATTTAAGTCGTATTTGCCACTAAACAGTGTCAGTTAGAATTAGGCACAGGGTGAAATAGGCTGTCATTTTCATTGGGACCAGTAAATACCACTTAAACCACAACCAAGAAATGTAAGTGTAACAGACTGCTGTGTTTACTATGTGTTGTGCTTTTTGAGGTGTGTCCCCTGGGCGTCACTAGGACTGCCCTTGGTTGTTATTGTTGTTGTGTTCCGCTGTTTTTTATATTGGCACTGACTGTAATGTGTCCAGTTGGAAACCTGTTTGTATTGCATTTCTGATCAGCTAATTCCTCATTAAGGTGGGAGGATAGTCAATTAATGAGTTTGTTTTGTTTACACTGTATTGTTGGTATTCGTGCTGGTTTTGCATTGCACACTGGGAATTTGTGGATGTTTTTTCTCATAATGGCAAAACGGGGACGTTTCGGGTTGAGGGGTGGTCTTATAACACATCCATGGGCGTACCAGACTTTCCTGTGTTTGTTATGTGCCCTTTTTTCTTCTTCTTGCTAGTTCCTTGGTTTTTATGTTTGACATTTGCTTTGCCTCGTTTACATGTCTACCTGAGAAATGTACACATTTATTCCATCAATTGGTCCATACATAACTAGCACCTGTAAAAATGTTTTAGTATGTTGACACTGTTTTCAAAGCTGCAATGATTCACATCATTTTCATCCTCATCAAACCATTCAGGTCACCAGGGGTGGTCACCTGTGGATGGAGACACTGTCGCCCTGTTTCTCCACTCACTCTAGATTCTAGAGTACACCTTCCAGTTGGACGACGGTGTGGGGTTGAAAATCTACTTCATCTTTCAGGATCTACGGCGAGGTGAAGGTAACAGAACCACCCACCCTCTGATTGGACTCTGATATGTGAATGTATTTTCCAAACACATTCAGGAGTTAAAATATGCCTCATTCCTCAGCGCACAGTGGGACTTTCTGAACACAGACAAATACAATTTTTTACTTAATTTGAAATCTAAGGAGAATGCAGTGCTGATGCTCTCTTGCTGAACTGAGGGCAGTCGTGTTATGAGTAGAGATGATGGTTAGGCCCGAGGGACTCTTTGCATTTATCTAAAATTTATGCACATCTATTTTTAGGGCATTTATTAAGGACCGCTAGGGTTGGGTGCTATGGCAATATGCCATTTGTCTGACTAGGTTTAGGTAGCATCAATCTGATGAAGTGTCTTCATTTGTCAGGCATTTAGTTCCCTGAGCATTGAACCACCAACCCTCCTCATATAAGATTTTATCCATATTTCCCATAATTTGATTTTTGAAATGTTTAACTGGTTAAAATGGTCCTTTTAAATAAGACAATATGATGTGGTGAACATTCATGATAACTTGCATTTGATCCACTATTAAGAGCGGTGGGTTAAAAATTTTTGAAACTGAATTTCTGCATTATATATCTTTTAATTCAGGTTTTTAAAAATGGTAACTGGCTCACAGTTGAAGGCGCTTTCTTTAACCTGTAGGGGGAAGCCTTGACACAGAAGTTGCCTCTTCTGTCACTCAGAAGATTATTAAACAGTGAGTGAACTCCAGTCATGTCAGTCAGCTTGTTTATGATCTATGTACCAATTTGAAATAATTGAATAATTGAAAAATAAAATGCTCTAAAAGGCCAAACCACTCTTCAAATTGGAGTTAAAATACACCAGTAACTGTGCACCCAGCATGACCATCGTCTTCTCTCTGTAACACTGTGATATGACTGTGCTGTTATCATACTGTCCTTCTGTTCGTCCCCGTTAGTAAATTAAGTGTATCCTATAGATAAAATCAGTTGTACCTCACAGAGCATGGTGAGGAAACCCAGTATTAACCATAAAAAGTACCACATGTCTATTTGTACTACCTCACATTAAATGTCACCGTCAACTTCTCTATCATCATTTGGCCTTTATCCCTCTTTTCTCCAACAAAACTCAATAATAATTTCATACAATTTTCATGTGATATTGTTAAAGAGTTCCACAGACTAAAAGCTCTGCTTCAAAGTAACGAATACTTCATAGAATTGTAGTGGACTGAAAAGTACAATATTCGTCTTTTAAGTGTAGTGGAGTAAAAGTCATACATTTCCAAAAAAAAATAAATAAATACAGAAAAATATACTTAAGTGCACGCTAACCCTCTCAGTTCACAGTGGCAGATTTTTACTAAATTAAAAAAAACTATTAGTATAAACAAAATTATTAAAGGACTTTATTTGAAGCTCTTGTTAAATTTCAATAGTGGTCAACAAACATGAAACAATGCATTTGCTCTGAGAGGATGACAGTGAAAGATTAGTTGAAAGGATCCATTCAGTAGGGGGCAGCAAAGTCTGGCTTAAAAAAAGTAACAGTCTTAAAATGTAAACAGCATGTCTGTAAATACTGTACGCTATTAATTCCCATACTTACATGATTGTTGATTAATAAATATGAATGTTGGATCCATCTCCAGAGACCAATACAAGACTAGTCTCGGTTACACACATGTTATATGCAGCATCTCGGTAGTTTCAGGGCATATGGCTGGTCTGTTCGTAATTTCTAGAAAGTTCAAAGCAATCCTGAAGATCCTGTTATTAGGGACAGCATGTTTATGTTCCCACTCCAGTGTGCGCACACACACACACACACATACACACACACGAGTATCCAATATTTTCAAGCATTTGCTGAAAGAGACATCATTAAAGTACAAGTCATAAGTATTTATTATAAATGTAAATCATATTCTCTGTGCATTAGCAGGACTTAGAGGAAATAAACAAAAAGGTTGATTTGGGCATGTGGCCCACATATGGTGCAAAGCCGTTCTCCAAAACAAGCCACATAAAATATCCAACATTCCCAGCATGCCCTGCTCTGTATATGCAAAACAGATCAAAGAAATATCAGTATCTTAAGCCTGCATCTTTAAACTGAAGCATTATACACTGACTACAGGTGTAAACCAGGCGAGACGACAGAAATGGAAAAGCAAATAGTCCCCTGTGTTGCAGGTTGTAGAAGTCAACATGCAGCCATATTGTCCCAGACCACTCTTAAGTGTCTATGGCTTCCACATGAGTGAGTGCTCAGTAAGCCAAACCACACATCTCTCCTGGATGATGTCCACAGAGGGGATAGGCGTGGAAAAGAATTACGGGTGAAAGTCAGCATTCTTCTCACCATCGTCCCTCCATGTTTGGTAAGGTGCACTTGCAGTTCAGGGGTGCTATGATTGGTAGCCATATGTTAATGCTTCTAAAGAGAAGAGGGAGAAAACAGCAATTCAGACGCAAACATTTATAGATTTACAATTCTGGCCGAAGTGTCAAAGAGTTGGATTATTAATTTTCATGTATCCATGACAACTTCCATCACACAACAAATGAGATTACTGTGGAGGTATTCATTCAGTCCAACATTAACACTGGTTCACTCAAAATACAAAAACATAATTTCTCAATTACTTCTAGTGGTATCTAGACACGCCGACAGATTTTATTTGACCAAGATTTGAGATAACTCTGTTATTTCTGCCTCCACCCCAATACAATAGAGGTGAATGTACCGGTAGTCATTTGTGTGAAAATGAAAAAATCACATTTAAAATTTATTAGACCAGTGAAATGTAGATGCAATAAAAAATGTTAAAAAGGATCTTTGTTAAGTAAATTGAAAATTTAAAGGTGCAATGTGACATTTTGGGAAATACTCGTACTTATGTCTTTTCTGAAAGATACATTAATAAGATCAAAATCTCTGCAAAAAAGGAAAAGTTTGACATTTTAGAAATATTCTTACTCACTTTTTTTTTTAAATGTATGGAGCTGGATCCAGGAAGAGATTATCTTAAAGAGTGGAAACAGCTAGCTCATTTCCTCCAAAGTTTAAAACAAAAAAAACAACCCCAACAACACCACTAAAGCTCACCAGAAAAATGTATCTCATTTGTTTAATCTATATTAAAAAAAGATATATAAAGGCAACAAATGTGGTTTTAATTGGAGTTATACGCCATAACTAATTCATGGCAAACAGTTTATCCATCCTTCTGAGCAGCGTCTGAACCGCAACAGCAAGACTCTTGGAAGTGACTTGTTGTTTGTCAAGAAACGGTTAGACCACGTTACTCACCAAAAACCCCAAATAGTCATTTTTACATTACTTTTTATAAATGCATTAAACAAACTACCTAATATAATATTAATTAGTGTGTTTTAGAGGTCCTGGTAGGTGGACTCCCTCCAGTTGTTATGCTAAGCTAGGCTTATTTCCTCTTGGCTCTCACTTCATACTAAGCGCTAAACTCTTGGAAAGACAGGCAATAAGCACATTTCCCAAACGGTCACATTATTCCCCCAAATACTGCCCCGACCTTATGTGGCAGACCCAGTCACCACTCACCTGACTGAAACTGTGCCGTGCAACACAGTCCCTCCCCCCGTGCCGTCCGGTAAATCGGTGATACGCACACTCTAGCTGATGGGGGGAGGTGCGTGAGGCGCGTTGACAAAGAGTCGGCCGGCAAATAGAACGAGGAGCGCTGGCCCGGGACAGAGGTTTGCTGCCCCTCCCAGGTGAGCCAGTAGCCCCTCAAACCTGCCTCGCTGCCCTTCCAGTTGACCTGCACCGAGTCACTGCCCACTGTGGTCAGCTGGAGGTCTGCCAGGGCAGGAGTCACTGGAAATGGAGACCACAGAGAAGCTAGTCAGGTTATATGTCAGAAAGATAACTGGGAAGAGCATTTTAAAGAAAAGGATATGAATGAAGAGGTTTAAAAAAAGAGGCTAAAGGTTAAGAGAAATGCTTTAATAGAACCTGTAAAGTAGGAAAATGCTCCACTAACTGCTCAGTAGTCAAACCTGAACGGGGCTGCTTGTAATTATCTGAAATCTAAGACGCAGAAAGGACTACGCTGTGTAGGATTAGGATTAGCGTGTGGTAAAGGGATCCTTGATTACCATGTGTGACCACATTTTCTTCCCACGTCTCACCTTCCTGAGTACACACTTTGACAGACATGGCCCTCTCCTTGCCCGAGGCGTGCCGCGCGCTAACGGTGACCAGGTAAGTGGTATCTGGTTGGAGGTCTCTGAGGAGAGTAGAGTTCTGCGTTCTGTCCACTGTGACGGCGTGGAGCTTCCCCCGGGGGAGGGCGGAGTATTCGATGTAGTAACTCGTGACCGTCTCTGGCTGAAGAGGACCCCAACTCACCCGAACGCTGTTTGGGCCTGAGTCAGAGACGCTTACCACAGCTGGGCTCAGCACCTCTGGTGTGTGGGAAGACAAAAAAAATAAAACACTGAGGAAGAAGAAGATATTATGAGGAAATAAAGAAGGGATGCAATCCATTATCATTTTCACACTTCATTTTACGGGTCAGTAAATTTTGATTCATTTCCTAATAACTATAACAAGAGCAGTGAGAAGATAATTCTCTCATCAGTTTAACACGCAAAAATTAGAACATTTGTCTAGAGACATGCATTTAATTTAACATATATTAAAAATACATTTTCCTATAACAGGCAAATAATGTAGAAATATTCACTGTGATTTAAATGGAGCTTATCCTATTATACTATATATAATATAATCAATATATTTATACTCCATAATCCAAATTATTGTATTTTTTTGTGAAAAAGTCAGAACAATAAAATAAAAAGTTACCCTATAAAATGTCAAATAATAGTAAATAATGCCAATAATAAGTTTCTAAGAGCCCAAGGTGACATCTTCACATTGTTTGCTCGGTTTAAAGCTGCAAAATATTCAGTTTACAATGAAATACAACTGATAAAGCATCAAATTCTTAAATGTGAGAGGCTGTTACTGGTGAATGTTTGCCTTTTTGCTCAGACTAGATTTATTAAGTAAGTGTAAATGGCAGATTAAATGCACAGTTGTTCAGACACAAGGTGTTAAAGAGGATGTGACCCAACCTGGCTTTGTTGTGAAGGTGACAGAGAGTGTGTTAAACGCTTGTTCGTTGGACTCCGGGGTCAGTGTGGCAGTGTAGCTGGTGTCAGGCTTCAGGCCTGTCAGCCTGGCAGTGCTGGAGTCGGCAGACTGGGTGAGTCTCTGGTATTGACTACCGCCGGTGCTCGGACTGGTCCCAGTTCCACTTCCTCCGCCACCTCCCGTGCCTCCCGACGGAACCGGGGCGAAGCGGATCTCGTAGTAGCCCGTCAAACCCGAGAGAACGGGTCGCCACTGGAGCGTGGCGGAGTTGGTGGAGATGTCACGAACATTGATTCGCTCAGCTCGGATTATCTCTGTTGGAGGCAGGACAGGATGATGGAAGAAGAAAGACGTTACTGTGTGTGATTTAGCAACAAGTTATGATTTTGAAAAGAGACAGACAGAGGACAGTGACAGGGAAGATGACGAGACACAGTTCTAAAAATGCCTTAGCTTCAGACAGCCACCCACGTAGACGGCCAGACTTGGGTTTCCAAGTGGATTCATAACCCTTACAATAAGACAACTTGAAATAGCCAAGCCAGTGGGGCCCTGCAACAAAATAAGAAATGCCACGGAGCCACTGATATCTGTGACAGGATCATTAGGCACCCAGCAAGGACCGGTGCATAAGCTTTATTTATACTATGCATCATGTCTTACAGCTGCAGTATATACTGTGTAATTGCTGAGATGTCCCTTGTGAGTGTTGTGCAGCTACCTAATCAGGCCAGAGAAATGGGCTACCCCCCTGGTCTATTTATATAAATACATATATATATGTATCATGTCTGGCATACTGTAGTGTTGGAGGACGCAGCAAAGGAAACTGAATCATTAATCCATTAATAGATCGGCCTATCTTGTTACAGTGACTCTTACACGCGCACAAAGACACGCTCAGTGTCCCGGTTTCCTATTTAGTTTCACTGTCTTTAGGAGCATGTGTGGAATTAGGGAGAAGCTCAGAGACATGTAATACATCTACTGTATGTATGAGAGGAAGGCAGCCAGTGTGATTGTATCTGTCTGAATAGAGGGTGTTTATCAAAGCTACTGAAACACATGGGCGTAGCTCCCTTATGAGTTTTGAAAGAGATCGTCTTTGCTCATTTACTTGTAGATGGGATCTAGATGTGTGTATAGTTTTGTTGACATTTCTTCCACCATGCTAACACCAATGGAGATTAATGGAGTTTAGTTTGTTCTGCTCAAAACGTTAAAGAAAAAATCAATGTGAAAAATGTGTCTATCCAAAATCATTGTCCTGTCATTATTTCTTAGAAAACGGTTAATTGTGAGGTCTGTGGATTATCCAACGTAACCAGGACGTTGCTTCTAGAAACATTGCTGTTGTTGTTTAAAGATTTTTTTTCAGAGCTTAGAGCCTGACTCAAGATACTGAAAGTTATACTGTAAATATTGTGATGAACTGGCAGAAATTTTATTTGATATCAAACAATAATATTTACTTGGAGCAATGGTAAAATGTGAAGGTGATAATTCTCTGTGGGTTTGTGAGTATGACCATTTCCTTTCACAATACACATGTCATGTGATCAATTGTTGATACAGCTTTGAAGGAGCTATTTGTAAGTTTGGCTATTGGCTGTTTACTCACCAGTGAAGAGGCATCAAACTTCATCCCTTTACTCTCCCAGAGCTGTCTCCAGTGGTGGAAAACAACACCAATGTCTGACAGAAACTTACTTCTATCACTTCTTTTCTTGTTCTGAAGTTAGCAAGCTAACCAGCTAACTGTCTCCTCACTTTCCGATACCGAGTCACTGTAGCATCCAGTCTCCAGTAGCACTGCTCAGAGGACGTATTATAACCTCTTGTATTGTAAACGATGGCGGAAACTCTTGGCAAGTTTGGTAAGTGAACAGCTGTTAATGCTAACACTGGCTATGCTATGTAGCAATAATAAACCTTTAGAAATAGCTCCTTTAATGAATTGGTAAATTTGAAAAAAAAATATATATATATTAATTAAATTTAATTAATTGATTAATCAAATAAAAAAAGATGATGATTATGAAAATGACATTTGCATTACATTGATAAACATTATAATTATATTTCCTTAATCTGTCTTAACACGAGAAATTAATAATTATGTCTTAAAATTGAAAATTTAAGAATAGTTAAAAGTATAATTTTTGGTATTTAATTTTACTGTTTTAACATAATTTCTATATAAAAGCAGGAGACAAAAGAAATGTGAATGCTTTAAACACGTGTAGGCAGGTAGGCACCTAAATTAATTTGATTATTAATCACAGAAAGATCAATTTTTCTTTTTCTTTTTTTGATGGCACACTCCAGGCTCCGTACCTGAAACCTCAGAAATCACCCATACTGTACTCACCAATGATGGCGTCCCGCAGGTCCTCTGTGATGATACTCATATGATCAATGTCCACAAAGTACAGGTTGTTTTCCACAGGTGGGCTCACCACCTGCCGCAACACTTGAAAGTTGCCATGCCCAGTAGAGACCACCAGCACAGCCACGCCCTCCTCCCGCAGCTCAGCCATTGGTCCAATCACATCCCCTGGTTTTACCCCATCCGTCAACCACACCAGCACCCTCGGGAGCCCCGCCCGGGCCCCGTCCGCTGTTCCGGGTCTCAGCACCGACTCCATCGCCATTCTCAGTGCCTCCACAGTGTTGGTATCCCCCCTGAGAGGTTTGGTGTTACTCAAAGCCCCCTGGAGGCTACTTTGGGTGCTATAGGTGTCGAAGCCAAACTCGAGGCGCGGTTGGGTGCCCACCTGCAGAAGTCCTACCCTCACCTGGTCCTCTCCCAGCGAGAAGGGGAGGACGAGCTCAGACAGGAAGTTGAGCATTCGGGAATACTCGTAGGACGACACGCTCCCCGAGGAATCCAATAAGAGGAGTACATCACCCTCGCAGCAGTTCAGCACTGTGGAGTAAAAAAAATATAAATCAATACAGCCATTAATGTGCAAATCAAAGGAGTTGCTTTTTAATGTGAAAGCTTTCATTCCTTTTATACTCCCACAGCTTTTTTCCACAGGTCTCCTCTCATGCTACACTTGCACACACACACACACACACACACACACATTTGGAAACTCCCTCCCTTTCTCCATCCACCTTCTTGGAACAACACAGTCCCACAGTCACACCACCTTTTTAAAGGGGTCATTGTCCACATGAAAGCAGGAACAAGTTAGGAGCAAGTAATCAGAGTTGAGATAAGGAGAAATCAAAACACACAGAGGAAGTACAAACTGATGCCGGCCTCGTGGTAACTTCAGAAGTGGATGATAAAAGGCAGTCATGCACTGAGACAAATTTTACAGATTTCGTAACAGAATTAAAAGTTAAAAGCGAATGTCCCGAGTGAAGCACAGGAGGGTGGGAAAACAGTAGCTGCTGGGTTTTAATGGTAAGGAGGCAGAGGAGAAAGGAGGTGGGTCAAAGGAAAATAAAAGGCGTTAAAAGGAGAGGAGTGAGGCTTCGGGGGGGTGTACTGGCAGTTCCATGTGAGAGACGAAGAGGAATGTTGGATGGCCATATACAGAGCAGGGAAAGTGAGCAGAGAAGGAAAGAAGCAGCAGCAACAGACGGAATCGAAAAGCAAAACTTAATTGCAGATGTTCAGATTGTGAAATCGCCCGAGAAAAAACACCCACTGTTAAAATCTCAGAGCAAGGGTGAAGGAGAAAAGAAAAATAAACATGTGAGACCGACTTAGGAATACTGCAACTACTGTGCAGACACCTTCACACTTATATGGAAACTTCTTCTTTTTTTTTTCCAAATATTTGAATGTTTAACATGTGAGATGAGGTGTTGATAAGACTCAGGGGTGTTGAAACCTGAGAAAGCAGTGAGGCATGTACACACACACACACACACACACACACACAAATCAAACATACACACATGCTTGCTGCCTTCCCCTCTCCATCAATCTAAAGAATTTCTTACATCTCTCTTGTTGTTTGGACTTTGGAGCGTGGGGAGGGGGGGGCTGCTGCATATCACAGCCCCCTACCACCACCACCTTTGTGCAACCTTACGTCTTTTATCTGAGAACCATACGTTGAAGTCTGGAGATAGCTGTTCATTTAGGGAGAAGACGTGTTTAAATGCAGCCTCCTGTTGTCGTACACACGCGATAAATCGGATTTATTGGCGACTGTGGGGCAGTTGAGTGATGTGATGGTGCAGGAATGAGGTGCATGTGGCCCCAGTGACACGCTACAGGGGGCGAACCTGGTGAACACATGGGTACATTACTGTGTGAGTCCAACACTGACATAGGTTTTGGATGTGCAGAAATAGACCATAACTATGATAATAGTTATTTATTCTGTGGGTGTAGGTTTCTTTATTAAACAAGGATGACAGCAATAACAGCAAGCACTTATAAAAAGCCAAATAACTGTAATCTAAGTTGCTTCAGTCTCACCGGGTCCCTATTAATGGACATAGCGAAGTGACAGCATCTCACTCACTACTATGTTAACACAGTCATAAAGAGCTGTCTGCGCACGCTGACGGCAGACTGGACGGTGTCACCAGCACCAGGTTTAGATTCTCAGACACTTCATGCATTACCAACGCACGCAAAAAAGGCATGGATGTGATAACAGATATTAACATTTGTTTTGTTAATGAAAACCGACCTGTAGACACTGATCAGAACTTACAGCGTCAAAACCAGCTTATAAACTCACTGAGTGTCAGTCAATCTCTCAAATGATATATTTTTATCCTACACATCTCTGGTTTGTTTTATTTAGCAATGCATTAATTAATAGATTTAATCAGCTGACAATATCTGTAAATATCCCCACACCCACCCCCCATATTTTTTTTTGTTTTTTGTTTTTTTTTGGGGGGGAGGGGGGGGGGTTGTTTTGGTGCTATATGGAGGGAGGGGAAGCATCTGGAGCACTTCTGCTTGAATGCCTGGGTGGTCCCTGTGTGGGTCCTCGGTTCTTGGGAATCACTGCCCCCAGCAATGGGATTTCATCAGCAGACAATTCAATACCTGGAGTCGTGCCATTTCACTGAGAACACTGTTGTAATATCAACCACACCCTGATCTACCCCCGAGCCCAGACAGACAGTCCCTCCACCTCCCGCAGCAGCATCAGTTCCTAATGGAAAATTCATTGCATCTCATTTTATATTGACTGGGGGAAATAACTGGGTAAATTTGTGGGTTATTCTTAGAGCATCACAATATGATTTTAGTAGATGGATAGATACTTTATTTGTCCCCTAGGGGAAATTGGTGATTATTTGTCCTGATAATACAGATATTTTATTATTATTTTAGTTTTATTTTATTTAGTACTTTATTGGGTTTGTTTTGTTTTATTCTTTCAATCAAGACGTAAAAAATTGATTTCTATACACTAAAAAAAAAAAAATCCAATGTTACATTTGAACTCCGCAGTAAACAGTGCTCATATCCATGTGAGGGAGCTTACCTCCTTCAGGTGCGGTGTTCTGTGCAGCCGACGGCCGCAGGAGCAAACACAACAGACTCCATGTCAGCAACATGTGGGTCTCCATCACTGTGGTTATCAATTAATTCCGCCAAAGTAAACTGTAACACAAGTGTCGCGGTTGTTGAAGTCAACCATATATCCACCACAGCCCGGAGGAGCGCACTCCCAATCAGTGAACCACAGTCAGGAGCATAATTTATACACGAGTCACATCCAGTCCGGGGTCGCTCTCTATTTTACTTCCTTACTTTCTTCTTCGCTGAACATGATCGACCGGTCGGTAACCGGAGAGTCGGGAAGTTAGACTTGAACTAAACTCAAAACTTCAGTCGCTGTGCGCAAAGTCTGAACCCAACTGCGCTCTGCTCGCGCTCAACACAAGAGAGTCAAGCACGCGAGAAGTGGGCTACAGGTTTACCTGGCAAAACTTTCAAAATAAAAGTCTCATTTGTTTTCTTGCAGAAAACTGCGGCCAGTATGTTGCTGCCAAAATACACTCATGGACTTTTGTCCCAGTTTAGTTGGTTTTTAAAAAAATATATAATTGCAAAAAGAGTTTAAGTTACTAATGTTTAAAACAATTGTACTATTTAGAACTTTTACAAAATAAAGCAAAAAAAAACAAACAAACAGTAATACCACAATGTGAACATTTAAAAAAAAAAGAAAAAAAGTAAAAGTCCTGCATTCAAAATTTTACTTTGAAAATAAGTCCAGAAAAAATGATTATTTTTAAGTATCATTAAAAGACTGATGCTTTTCAGTGAGCTTTATTATTATACTGTATATAAGACTATATTATTAAATTAATATTATGAATGTTTTAACATTTAAGCATTAGTTTAGTTTTACATGTTTCACGTAATTAAAACAGTCAATAGCATAAACAGCACAAAACAGATAACACAATTGATAATATCCTACAATTAGCTAAAAATATACAGATGTACAGTCTAGAGAGAACCAGCAACAGCGCAACAAGCAGACAAAGAGTCAAACAAAGACAATTAACAATAAATACAATTACCTAGAAGTGAGTACAACTCTGGTTTGCTTCTAGCTTTTAATGTTGGTTTTTTTCATATTTATTTCTTGTTGTTGGGTCAGGGCCAATTTTAACTGCTTATATAACAATGCATTAATATATTCAATCACATGCTTTGTTTGAAAAATATTAATGTGCAAAGTAACAACAGCTGATGGACAAATATTTGGAAATTCAGACTTTGGATTAAGTGAAGTGGACTTAACTTCTATCACTGTGTTCAGCAGATTTGAGCTCTAGCTGTAAATGCAGAGACTTTGCAGCAGCTAAATGTAGCGTATCCTATATATAGGCTACCTCTGACATATACACTTAATCACAAACACTTAGCAGTATCACATTGCTGAAAATGTCTGCTTATTATTGTAGCTCATAGGTGGCAGAACTGTTTTTAAAACAGACAACAGACAGACAGCCACTGGTGCTGTGACTCACAAACAGAAGTCTTTATTTTGAAGGTAACATTGCTTTAACTTCCCCTCTGGCTACTTGTGCTTTACTTTACATTACACATCTCACTGTCTTGTGTACCTCACTCCTCCCTTCAGTCTCCCCAGTAACTCAGAATAGTAAACGGGGCTGTGTTCACCATCCAGGCGTCAACCCTTTCAATCTGAGCCAGAATTAGATTTAAACCTTCAGGTTACCTAATTACCAGAGATATAAATGGGGAACCCATGAAAAACTCACTTTACATTTTTTTGGCTGAGTCTTTGAAATGAGTCATATACACCATGGGGAAGAATCAGCTGGTGGGGGATCTATAGTAAATGGGTGTTACAGAGGAAACAAGCATAATTTACAAATATGACATGTTTTTTTTGCTGCAATTTATATTAAAAAAAAATCTGCTTGTGCCTTTTTGATATCTTAGCGATTCTTTACCTTTACCCTTGACTTATTTTCTGTTTTTCTTTCTCTAATAAGAATCTCAGTTATCCAAGAACTGAAGCAACCTCTGGTTCACCAAGAGAAACCACAAATACTTGCAGCATTTAAACCACTGGGAGTGCATCTTTGAAATTATACAGCACATAGTCTCAGAGCGGAAAACAGGTCAACAGCTTTGCATGCCGGCTGTCCTCTGAGGTCAACCGCTCTGCAAAAATAAAGCGAGATTTATAAGTAGAAAGCAAAGTGATGGGACAGTTTAGCAAAGGGCTGCATGGAGAGTATTGATACTCTGCGTGTGTGTTTGTTTGTGTGTGTGTGTGTGACGCAGAAACAAAGAAGGAGCAAAGGGGGTAGGAGGGAATAAATGGATGGGAGAGGATGTAGGAATTCAAGTGGGACCAAACAAAGGTCTGGATTCCTCTGTGATGCATCATGTCCAAATCCTTGTATTGTTCCAGCTGACGCACTGACAGTAAACACACCAATCCCAATACACACCTAGTAAATAAACACTTACTGATTGGGAGGACTTATGATCTCTGATCTCTGTCTGACCTGTATATCGTTGTAATCTCCCAGATGGAAAACTATTTGTAATGTGTCTGACAGAGGAGCCAAGTACAAGCACTTAATTGTACTTATGGCTGTGTTATCTCTTATCTTTGTTCATTTTATATGTGTTTACAAGAATGACTTTGGCAGCCGTGACAATCTAAGTCTGTGTCCAGTTTTATTTTATGCACTGTTGCTAAAATTGAACTCCAAACATCTGTGAGGCCAAGAGCCGCATCATAATCCATTTAAACCCCGTTGCTACTGCACAACAGACATGCGACATTGATTTCCCTGTGGTTTTTGTTTTATTTTGCCTTCAGGGCTGAAAAAAAGTTTCACATGAACATTTGCGGCCCCCACAGCCCACTGTCGGTGGCACAGCGCTGTGTGGATTTTATTACAGGTGGGAGTTCTCTTCCTGTGCTTTTTTTTATACCGTCTAGTCGGAGAGCTGTAAATCAGTCGGATACATACAGTGCTATACCCCCACCTGGAGCAACTTGGCACTGGTGTGTGTGTGTGTGTGTGTGTGTGTGTGAGAGAGTGTGTGAGAGCAGTAAATAGCTGAACATGCATGTGCACAGAACGTGCTATGACGACATATTGTTTGAAATAGCATGTGCACACATTTCTTTCTGTATTTCAACATGTCAAGCGTTGCATAAATTGCACAATGACAGATTACATGCAAGTCAGTGTGTGTGTGTGTGTGTGTGTGTGTCAAGCACACAAACCGAAGCTCATGTTAGCATTTGACATTGCGCTGAAATCCACAGCTGTTTCCAACCCGACACAGCACGCTGCATCCACTGTCTCAATCACCATGTCAGATTATGCAACCTGAGCGGTGATCTGTTTCTGCTCATTTTCACATACCATCATAATCCTGGTGGGATGACAGCTACGAGTTCTTTTTGGAGGGAGAAAAAAAAAAAAAAAAAGCGCAACAACAACGACAACACAGTAACACTTGACCTTTGAGCTCTGGGCAAGGCAGCAGCAGAGGGACTGGGAGGAGCGGGAGGAGAGGCGAAAACAGTAAGATGTCATCGAGGCAGTGGAAGAGTTTATGGCATTTTGTGGCTCGCAGCATTGAGGGTGTGATAACATGGAAATAAAAGGGGGGGAAAAAACAGCACATCCTTTGGGAGGGGGCCCGAAAACAGCCTGGAAACACTCTTTAAGCAGCCAGAGTTACTGCCTCTTATACAGTCTCTTGTAACTTTGGCCCATAATAGCAGCCTAGTTGTAATTACCCATTAAAGTTTTTTGCTGCAGAGTTTTTGGCTACGTATTGGAATGCCACTGTCAGTGGTGGAGTGGATTCCACAGATCTATATTTGCCAGTGTTTTCCTCCTCTCTGCCAGACTCTGGTATTCAAGGTCTGGTTTCTAGCAAACCATGGTTTTTGTGCAGATTTAATGAAGAAAAGCAGAAATGTTGCCCCTTTCCCTCCCCTCTCTCTCTCTCTCTCTCTCTCTCTCTTTCTGTCTCTCTCTGTCTCTCTCTTAGCAAAACAAACTGCATAATAAAGGGAGGCTAGATGAAACACTGATCAAGCTGAGAGAGATTAGGAAGAGGAACGAGGCTGATGCAGGTATGAAGACGATGGAAAAGTGAGATAAATCTGAAGGATGCCGGAAAAGAGCAAAAAACTCAGACAAAATATTTAGCAGAATTTACATTTGGAAGTGTCTCACAGGCTGAGCCAAAAATGCTCTTTGCCTCCCATGTTGAAGATTTGGACACGACATATAAATAAAAACCATCAAACTAAAAATAATGACGAGGAGGTCAGAGGGACTTCCCATCACCGGGATGTGGGGAAGACCAGAAATGAGCCAAGTGCCCACTGCCTTCCTGAGCAGCACGGATCCCTCCGGGCCCTGCGTCAGTGGTACTTTCCTGCCTCCACTGATCAGCATCCTGTGTATCTCCACAGTGCGTCTTGACTTTTAAACAGTGTCTATGAGGGGTATTTCCTAAGCGTTTAAGCCTTGGAACATTTTGTTTTGTTGGGGGGAAAGAAATTTGGATTAAACATGTTTGTTTGAGAGGATGCTGCCGTTACATGAAGGTGTTGATATCTCGCCGCGTTCCAAGAACCCGAGGCCATAACTACATTCAGGGGAATACTCCATCTTTTCTTTTCCTAAACAAATATGACAAGTTACATTAAACACAAGCAACCATCCAGTTCAGGGCAGGACCACATTTTTTAAGCATAAATCCGAGTGTATATTTAAGTTTGGACAGAAGCACCCGTGTCTGTGTACTGTCTTGTGAGTGAAACTGGGTACAGCTAGAAGCATCCTCCTGTATGGAACATCTGTTTTGCAATAATCGACAGCCAGCGAGTCTCCACATTGGTGAGGCCAACTCCCACTGCAAGTTTCCACAGTAAAATGTCACAGGCTGGTTCTGCCAAGCTGCGTCGATGGAGGTTCTCTCTATAGCTGGCTCAGCTCCTCTGGAGAGCGCCGCTCAGACAATGGTCTTATTGTGCCGAGGATTGGCAGGAGGGCGACATTTGGAGATGGAGGATAACTGCACTCATCTTTTTTTGGCTCACGCAAACTGATCAGTGCAAGTTGGACAAACTTTAAAAAAAAAAAAAAAAAAAAAGATGGTTGACTGCTACAGCAGGTTCAGAGATTTGATTACATCTAACACCTGAGTTAAGGAGACGCATGATGAATGAAGAAGCTCACTGAAAGAGCATGTTACGTACTTTTCAAATAGCACACAAGGCCCTGACTCCAGCGGCATGTCAGAGACTTTCCCCTAAGTTCTTTGGAAAGGCTCTGGTGGCTGTTTCCAAAACTTCTCAATGGAGTAACTGAGAACTAAGAATTCTGCTTTGTTGAGTA